CTGTCCTCCTGCCTGGAGAGCAGGGGATGAAGGTGCTGAGATGCTCTTTTCTTATGTGAGTCACTCCCTTGCGTGCCCCACAGGACAGCGTGGGAAGCAGTACACAGTGTTTGCAGCACCTCCACCAGCAGCTTCACCTCTGCTGGGCACAACCTCGCCCCTCCCTCTCAGCTCCTGCCAAAGGGGCCCATCCAGCCCCCTCCCCATTTCTCATCTATGATGCTGGAGCCAGTACCCAGGAGGCACTCATCTACCTGCACTGGTGGTTGCCCCATCACCTACAAATGAGCTGATTTTCCTGCCAGATCAGATATTGCTTTGTGCCTCCATGCCTCCCTCTAGCTGGCCTCACTAGCACATGCTGTCCCAGATTCCCAGTGGATGAAAGGCAGCCTTTGACGCAGTTTAGACTTAGTCAGGTCACTTCACATTTATTCAGTGCTAAGCAGTCTTCATCTTTTCCTCTGTTAATCTTCAGACTCTCTTCTTTGAGTCACTTTCACAGAAGCTCTAAAGGAGTTTTCTCTGCTTCACTCGGACAGGCTCCTTTTCTCCCACCTGAGCCCCTGTGTCTTGTATCATCAGACCAAGCACGTCCTGTGCTCGTTCCCTCACCTCCATAGCATTGCACCTCAGGCACTGGACTGTCAGTCACTTTGCCTAAAGCACAAGGCCCCAGCCTGTTTGAAACAGCTTCCTTCAGGAGGTCCCAAGAGGCCATGCCTGTGAAAAGCTACATTTCTTTGCTGTCACTGAGACTTCTAGGTTCCCATGCCAGAGGAGAGCCACGATGTCTCCTTCACTGCCCCTCTCACTTTTGAGGCAAGAAATACACTGTGTAGCAGCATACCAGGCTCTTTGTAAGACAAGTCCTCTGGACCCTCTGCCCTGCAGGATGGACACTGGGGCAAGAAGAAGTTTTTCCTCCCTATCTTCCATTAGGCATTGACCTGTGGAGCCCTCCCAGGCTTTGCTGAGAAGCCTGTGGCTCTTCTCAGAACATCTGAGGTAGGGGTCTGTCCTGAGAAGTTGGGTACACTCAGGGAGTGAGGGTGTAAACGAAGATCAAAAACAGCCAGAGCTTAAGCCTGGTGCCAGAATGACAATGGCAGAGGCAGACACAGGACATGTGGATATACCTCAAAAGAGAACATGAGTGAAGGAGGCCTCTGTTCTACAGTGACACTATCTAGTTATTCTGGTTTTCCTAATACCAGGCCTCTATTCCAAACTAGGAGCACTCTGGTTCATCTGGGCCCACCTTTCCAATACCTTTCTGCTTCCAGTATCTCCCATTCACCCACTTTTCTCAGGTATTATTTGTGGTGCTGGATGAGCCATTTTCCTTGTGTTTGGATACCTGGTTCAAAACAGATGGCAGGTTGGGTTTGGTTCTTTTGGCTAAAGCCCGACGCAGCCTTCCCCTGTACTTATCCCCAGTCATGAAGTACAGGATGGGGTCTATGCAGCTGTTGATGCTGGCCAGGGGTCGTGTGATCTTGTAGGTGAAGTTGACAATGTTGAGGGTCTTGCAGTTGGCTTGGAAGAGTCGGGAAGTGTAGTAGAGTGTCCTTGTGATGTGAAATGGAACAAAGCAAAGTGCAAAGACTGAGAGCACAATGATGATCATTTTGATGGAGCGCTTCCTGTATGAGGGTAAGGTCTTGTTCATGTAGGAGAAGTTGGTTTTACAGAGCTTCTTGGCCATCAAGCAGTAGCACACAACAATCACCAGGAAGGGAAAGCCAAAGAGGAGGACCATCACTGAGGAACTGTAGTGTACGTAGTGGTCAAATTCCTCGGGCTTGGTGGTGTCATGGCAGAGGGTGCTGTTGCCCCTGGTGCTGATGGTGACAAAGACCAGGTTGGGGATGAGGCAGATGGTAACAACAAACCACACACCCACACAGACCCAGTATGCATACTTTGTCTTCCCCCACTTCAGTGAACGGATGGGGTGGCAGATCCCCACATAGCGGTGCAGGCTGATGCAGGTGAGGAAGAGGATGCTACAGTAGAGGTTAGCATAGAAGAGGAAGCGCACAATCTTGCAGAGTGCCTCCCCAAAGGGCCAGTTGTTACGATCAGCATAGTAATAGACCAGGGTGGGGAGGGAGAGCACATAGAGGGTGTCCGAGATGGCCAGGTTGCACATGTAGATGGTGGTGGTATTCCATGGCCTCATCTTGAAGATGAACATCCACAGGGCCCAGGAGTTGAGCAGCAGCCCTACCACACACACAATCCCATATGACACGGGCAGCAGGATGAACTTAAACTCTTCATTGAAGACACATTTCTCCTCGGTGGCATTTCCTGTCATCTGAGAAGCAGGGGTTGGTGTCAACATGGCAGCTGGATATGTCCTCACTAAGGCAGCCATTGCCTTTAAGCCAGACCTAATGACATAGTAACAAAAATGTGTGAGTTAATGGTCTCTGCTACTTGTAGGTGTTTGGTCTAGAGGGGTTGAAGGATCCCAGACCTCCCCCACAGATACTTCTGTTGCTCTGATGGTTCTTTGTTTTGTGTTTCCACTATATTGGGCTTTCCACCCAGCTAAGGAATATTTCCTACCCCCTTTTCAGAGCTCCCTCATTAATGCCCTTTAATCAGCTGAAGGAACAGTGCTGGATGATGCAGTGTGTACAAGACCCCAGGCAGCATGCGCTGGATAGAAAAGCCTGTTTTCCCCCAGCCCTCCTCGAACTTAAGTAGCTACTCAGATAAACCCTGTTCCGATAAACCACTCTGTTCTGAACAATGAGACCTTTATGAGCAGTAGCCGTTCCTAGCTAAATGCCAGCACAGTGGCTCTGAAACTTATTTCAGTCTAATTGGCATCACCCTAACAATGCAGCAGATCCCAGAGGGGCCACTTACAAAGGAAAGAGGGCAGAGTCACTGGACAGAAAAAGTCTTGCCTGGAGAAACATTCTGGCTCGGACAAATCCTTGGGGAGCTGTTGAAGGGGCCCACTGAAGGGGCAGTGTCCATGGATGTTGGGAGGGAACCCAGATTCCCGCCCCTGTGAATTATAGGCATTCATAGTGTCTGAACACTGAGCTGAGCCACACAAAGAGGAGTCGTGATGAAGGTGAATCCCATCCCAGTAAGGTCACAATCA